TTATTTTTAAAGAAAATTTAAAGATTAATAAAAACGTATAACTTACCCTGGGACTCCATATTTACACTTTAAACAACTGTCATAATAACCTTTGAAAACTATTGCGAAATTTCAGCATTCATTTTTTTAATTATTATAAGGTGATATTCATAGAAGTTATAAAGTTTTTTTTGTATAGAATAAAATCAGAGATTATTTAAGGTTGGATTTTTTCGAACACTACAAATAAGTATACAGATTTATTTAAACGCGGCGAGTTGTCATTGATGTCTGGACAGGAGTGGTTCCTGTCCAGACATCGTTCACATCTGTCTTCTTCATTAATGTCTAAGACATTACTCAGTCCATTCTGGACAGGAATCATTCCTGTCCAGAAAGCAAAGAGTACTGTCTAAATGAAAAAAAAATTTTGGACAGGGACCAGTCCTGTCCGGACAGCACTCAGTTATGTTTATTTTTCTCAGTGTAGTAAATAATATATAAATACAAATTTATTTACAATATACTAAAAAGCTAAAATGAGCCGAAAAGTACTAAAACTGCAAAATAAGACAATACAAAATTGAAAAAGAAATTAAAATAATAAAATGAGAAGGAAAATTAAAAGAAAATTAATAATTTTTACATGTGAAAAGCAAATTTGCCAAAAAAGCATGGATTTAAAAAAAACAATTTTGCCTTAAATGTTCAATTATTGGATAAAATAATTTATTTACGTTTTAAAAATTATTTTCATTGACGGCCGAAGAAAGAAAAAATAAACGGTGTGAAATGAAAATTGGAAATATTTTTTTTAGGATGGAATGGGCGCTTCTACATTATAAGCAGGTTTTTTTTAAATAATTCTAAACTAAAATTAGTTAAAAACTTTAAATCAACTAATGAAACTAAATAAAAAAACTGAAACGATTTTCTCTAAAAAGCTATACCTGCATTATGTAAAGGAATCAATTATCGAGACGGTTCTAAATTATATTTGCAGATATAATAATCTAAAATGTTGCTCATACATTTAGTAAATCTGTTAAATACATAATTAATTAATCACAAGAAAATTAAGTAATTAATTAATTTATTAATCACAAGAAAATTAACTAATTAATTCATTAATTAATAAACTAATTAATCAAATGATGAACTAATTAATTATTAAGTTAATTTCTTTGTCAATTTATAACATGATTTAATATTTTTGATAGAAAATAATTTTCCTTACTTAATTATAGTTCGTCAACAATTGATTCCTTTACCATATACTGTAAATTTAAAAAAAAATGACGACTCTTACTACTAAAATATAAAAGTCTTACAACTACAAATACACATTCTAATGACGAACGTTAATTATATACTGTTGATATAAAATATAATTGACGAATTTTGTACTAAAATTTACTAAGACATTATTTTTTAGTTACACAAAAAGAATCTATTAAATATTCAACTATTTATTTATTTATTGAAAAAAGCTCTAAGAAGTTCTGCACTTAAAAATAAATTAATTTAATGAACAAAAAAGGACATACAAATAATTTAGATAATAACTATAAATTCTATATAAAAATGAATATAAAAACAAATAATAAATACAAATAAGTTCACAAATAAATAATAAATATAAATTGATACATAAATAAATTAAAAATAAACAAATATAAAGAAATACGTTAAATAAATACAAATATAAATTGAAAAACTTTTTAAACTATACGAATACAGAAAAAGTACTCTAATAATTATATTTATAAATAATTAAACACAATTTTTTAAAAAAAGGTCAAATTTTTCTAAATTTGGGAAATTTTTTTTTTTACTATTTTTTAGCAAATCGAAATTTCTACATTTTACGAGAAACATAAAAATGAAAAAAATCTAAAAGTTTATCAACTAAATGGAAAATGTTCTTCATCTAAATAAAGGGAATTAAAACGTACCATGTGAAGTATCTTTTGTCAATTTAACTCTCCCCTGATCTAAAACTTCATTAAAAGCAGGCCAGCCACATCCGCTGTCATATTTTGTTTCGGAAGAAAATAATTCTTGGTCACACACTAAGCAAGTGTAGGTCCCCTTGTCATAGACTTTATTGTAACATCCGGTGAACGGTCTGAAAAGAATGTCAAATGTTAGACAAACAAGAAAAAAAATTAGAAAATTCGCAACGTAAATTCTTCTTTTTTTTTAAATAACTTGGCATTGATGCACAAAAGTGCTGATTGAGATGCACTTGAAATAATTTATTTTTAGTTTTCGTTGTCATCTCAAATTTTCGAGTTTACCAACAAATGTTCTGAAAATACAAAAAAAAGGATTAAAAATTTTAATTTTTCATCAATAATGAATTTACAACTGAATCTTTTTTTATTAACAAGAAAAAGAACAAGAAGAAATAATATAAATAAATAAAAATTTCCTTCTTGGAAAAATTGTCCTAAAACTGAAAAATTAATTTTTGGCTCACGTCCAACGATCAGAAAATATTTTGTAATGCCTTAAGAAACTATATGTATAAATAGAAGACAAGCATTTTGTAATTTCTTGGAAACCATTTTCAGCAATTTTAGTTTTCGAGAGATTGAATTTTTAAACAGTTTATCATTATTTAATTAATTAAATAAAAACCATAACAATGACAATAAATAGTAATAATAAATAATAATTGAAAATATTTTATAATAATAACAGTAATTAAATAAACAATAATAATATTTCAATAATTTATTTAACCTGCATAAGTATATATTTATAATAATTACATTAAAAAAAATAATATTATCTTTTTGAGAAGTAATAAAATTATTATTATATATTACGTTAATTCGTTATTAACATTATTTTTTTAGTTATTACATTAAAATATTAATAAAAAAGTTTAAATTACGGGAAAATTTAACAAATATCAAAAGAAATGGAATTAAAATATAAATAAATATTCTAAATTTTTTCATTTTACAATAAAAAATTCCCGAGCGTTATTTAAAAAAATTTTCTAAAAAGAATTTTTTTTTAACAAAAAAATAATTTAATAAAAATAAAAATATACCTTTCTGTGCCCTTTTCTTGTGTCACGTGCCATTGTATTGGTGTCAATCGTTTTCTTAACTCTTCTTTATCGATTTCAGTCGTCATTTTTCTTATTGTTTCTATATAAAAAATTATACAACTGAAATTAAATTAAAAAAAGAACAATAACTTATATTTTAATTGGAATATTTTAAGTATTAATATTGTATAAATAAATATTTGGAAGGCAAAAATTTGTTAATAATACTGAGTTTACAGCTGGACTGTTTAGCACGAACTGATCTAATTTTCAAATATACAATCCCCGCCTCCAACCTTATATATTTCAAGGACAATTGATATGTAATTCAACGATGCTAGAGAAAAATTTTTTTTACTTCAGCTTCTCCACAGTTCAAAATATCATTTTACTGTTATAATCTATCAATAAGAATATTAAAAAAACTGAGAAGCAATAATTTCTCCAAAAAGAAAAAAAATAATAATTAAAAATTAAATACTCTATCGGTAATGTCATACTGGAAAATTAGAAATCACTGGAATTTGCGACGCAAATTATGGAAATGAAACTAAAATGAATCAATAGTAGGGGGAAACCTGTATTTGGTAGTTTTTAAAAAACGAAATAAGGGACAAAAACTCAATAAAAATCGAAAATAATATAATTATCATAATTATTAACTGGAAAAAAATATTTACATTTGAGGGATTAATTTTGTGCTTGGAAATTAATAAAGGAATGAGTAAATAACTGCGGTGAAAATTAATTTTTGACAATTGTAGAATTGCAGTACAAGATAAAAATCTTAGAACAGAAAAATTTATGACGTTAAAATTTTGACATGTCTTTGTTTACACTCGATTTTTGTACTATTACGTAAGATTTTCTTACCTTTCTGACAGATGACACTTGCCGGAATCCGATTTAATATATTCGAAGTTTGATATTTAAGTACATTTCTCCAAAAAACAGGAAAAATAGACACCATTCCTTGACGTTTCGAACGTTTCGAACGCACTAAAAACCTAACCTACAAATTAGGTTTCACAGCTCGACAATTCCACTTGTTTCTCTCATCCTATTGGTCGAAAAAGCGCGCTTTATTTCAAAACGGTGTGGGTGTGCTTGTATCCACACTCACACACCGCCGTGAGTTTCCTCTCTATAAAGATAGTTCATGACTATTGAGATAAATTGTTTGTTTGATCGAGTTAAATAAATAAATACTTCATTATTAATTACTAATCTATAAGTAACATAGCCCCAATCTCACCACGAGGTCCTAAAATATTCCATAATTTTAAACAGAATTTCAAAATACGCGGCAATAAGAACCAATCAGCGACATAATAAAACTACACTTATCTGATTGGTTGAACTCAAACTACCGGTATATTTAAACTGATAAATTTTGCCAAAAATAAAATAAATATTTCATCATTATTTCTCCGGTGGAAAAATTCTTTTCTCAATAATTAATTTTAGATAAAAAGAAATAATTTTAGATAGGTATAATATTCATAAACTGTTTGCTAAAATCAAACTTTTTGAAGTTTTGAGACATTCTAATTTTCGAACATAACCTATAAAAAAGGAAAATTTGTACATACGGCGCAAAAAAAATGTCTTTTTGTTTTAATTATATGTATGGAAATTATTTTCTATTATATCGCATCATTTTATCGGAATGTATATAACACGAATAACATAAGAAATATATAAATAGAAAGACCTTGTAAAAAATATAATCAAAGGACAAGAAGAACAACCGCAGAACCAATGAGCGATTCCCTTTCAGTTAAAATTTATTTTCACTTCAATGACTACCTTCGAAATCTTCGAAATACATTTTCACTTATGACGTCAATCTTAATTTAAACATCCTCCGCATTAAAGTGAAAACATACAAACACACACTGTTCTGTATACAAAACCCTTTCCCTCGAATAATAACAAGTCACGTGGTCCTGACATCAGACGAAAAACCTTCCAAAAATGTTAAGTCAAACATAAAAATTTAGGCTCGGCCAATTATCTCCTCATTTACATTTAAAAAACGACTCTTGCCATTGGCTATAGGACAAGTTTTACAGTTTTTGTTAATTTTTGTATTTTTTTTTCTCTGTCACGGCCATTCAGCGACCTGGAAATCAAAATGGCGTACGTCATTTCTCCCTCCAGAAATTTCTCATTTCTCACCACATTCACCCGAATGTGACGACTGACAATAGCTTAATAGTCTTTAGCAGACTGGAGTCGATAGAATAAATCATTAATTGTTAGAAGCGAAAAAAAATAGAGAATGAGAATTATATTGTGTACAAAGTAGTGTCAAAAGAATTCTAAATTATCAAATGGCCTTAATTCTTCCATTTTTTCACAACAGAAAAACGTATTTTTATAGTATACAAAATTTTTATCAAAAGGAAATGAAATAAGTCGCGACAAGTGCCAGTTTCATTCAATGCCACGGAAGTTTTTAAGAAAAAAAACTTGAATTCTTCTGTAAACAAATCTATTTTTACCATAGAGAAAAAAATACACTAGTGCCTTAAATTATGTTTTTATTAAGAAAAATGGATATATTTCACTGGGAAAAAATTTACAACTATTTTTTATTTTAAAAAATGGTAAGTTTCTCTTTTGTTTTGACATTGTTTTTATATATATTGAAATTTTTTGACTACTGCACTAAGAATTTATTAATAATCTAATTATTGTCAATTTGCAAATAAATGAAATAAATTCTTAATTTTGAACATAACCTCAATTTTTCAAATAATTTGATAAAGTTTATGAAGTTTATAAATACATGCAAATATTTCAAGAGCTTTTATAGAAATTCTCAACATTCCTTTTTAATCTTTGGAAGCTCTAAATTTAAATACGAATCTTCGGTCGATTCTGATTTTTAGAAGTTTTTATATTTAGAATTTCTAACATTTTTTCTTAATTCTCCATAAATAATCAAGAATCTATTTTATAATTTATATAACAATTCACAATTTCTTTTAATTTTTCCTTCAATATTTTCCCTAAAAAAGGAAAAATAATATTAAAGAATGGTAAAAAATACTGCAAAATAACTTTTATCACTGTAAAAAAAACAGTTTTATTTTTAAAAAAAGTATTTTTATGACATTCTTTTTGTTATTATTTTGAAAAGAGTTAGAAATAGGTATATTTCATTTAGTGTGGAAAATGTATAAAACAATATAGGTCATTCTAGTGATAATTAAAGTCATTAAAATCTTATTTATTTTCGTTGAACTTTAATTTTTGTTATGAAAGAATTTTTCTCTTAAAAGTTCATTTCAGAATAAAGAAAAACATAATGTCGCGCTTTATTCTTCGACCTTGAATCCAAACTAACAGAGGATCAAGTGTCTAACGAAACAATCACTTGTTAATTGGAGAACACTATAAAAAAAAATAATTTCACGCTAGTAAAGAATTTAAAATTATTATTATTATCATCTTTAAATTACTGCATTCATTTCATAGGCTAACAACTGAGACTTGATTAAAAAAGCTATACACGACAAAAAAATAATACATTATTTTTGTAACCCGTTTATTACTCAAATAAATATAAATAATTAAAAAAAATCGTAAAATTAAGTTAAGTAATTAATTAGTGTAATAAATGTTTCAAATGCTACTTATTATTACCGGAATAATTAATTAATTATCTAATTAAAAAATTATGGTTAAATTCAGTAGCAAGCTTTATTAACTAACTATGAATTTCTTGAAATTAAGACCATTTAGTAAGAAATTCCTTCTAATTTTTAAAAATTCGCAATTCTACATTTAATAATGGCTCTATAAATATCACGTGTGTCATCATTTCCGAAATATTTTTCACTCTATTAGATCCTATCTGTCGTTTTAAAAATTTTACGACACTTTTTATTTTCCTGATAAAGATTTACTTCATGACTTTATATTATTATTCTCAAAATTGTAGGCAGTAAAATTTTATTTTATTAGTAATTTTATTAAGTAGAGAATTTATAAATAAATAGTTTTGTAAATATATTTGGAATTAAAAAATAACTAGTTTTACAATAGGAGACAAAATTAACTTTCGAAAAATATTCTATACGTAGAATATAAATAATAAATTATTTTCAAAAATTAGGGCAATATTGTTTCGATTTTATAATGCTATAAAAATTTACATTTTTATCCGGTTTAATGTCTTTAGGTAATTCACATTTTATATATACAATATCTGCGCCAAAATTGTTGCAAACAGAAGTTAAATTAGTTTTTATTATATGTGACGTGCTCCTAAGAAAACAGGGTTGCCACAGGTCAGGGAATTCAGAGAAAAGCCCTGACTTTATTTGATTCAAATAACCGATTAATTGACTATTATCAATTAAATATTTACTTGAATCAAATAATATTTATTGGAGTCAATTAAATGGTATTTGCTTCAAATACTGAAATTATTGGTTTAAATACCATTTAATTGACTCTAATAAATATTATTTAATTCAATTAAATATTTAATTAATTTCAGTTAAAATTTTAGATAATTTTAATTGAATATTAAAAGCATTCTAGCATGAATTTTTAGAAATAATTTGATTTTAAAAAGGTTTCAAATTAAAATCTTTGAAAATCTGAATTTTTCATACTTTTAACTAACAATTCTGCAAAGAATTTTGAAAAAGTTTTATTGCATTTTTTAAAAAAATGATAAGAAATTTTTATTTTCTAATATAATATATATTATTTACTCATAGTCCATACCTTTCGATTTCGGACGAACTTCCGGATTACATCTTACATATTCTCATATCAAATTTTCAGATATAAGCAAAACATAACAAATCATAAAAATCGTACATATTGTTCAGCTCCATAAAATAAAACCTTTTAATTTTCTAATATATATTTAATTGAAGAATTTCCGGATGATCAAAATTTCGTAAAACTGAGTTGTAAACAAAGGGATTTGAATATTCTCAAAAAACTTTTTCGAAAATTATTGAAAATAATTGATTGAAAGAAGAATTTTAGGTAAAAATTCTAGAAAATAATAATTTAATTGAAATTATGAAAATAATTATGAAGAAGTTACAGTAACAATATTCTTATAATATAAAATAATGATTTAATCACTCGGTGATCTTTAATTATTATAAGTTGTTAAATTTGAAAAAGGTTGGAATTAAAATTTTTTTAAATCTTAATTTCTATGGAAAAATAATAATGATTAAATATTTATTTAAAAAAGAAATTATTGATGTTTTCGAATAATTTTACAATTAAAGAAATTCGTAAATAAATGTAATAGAACCTTTTTTTAAGTATCTAATAATTTTTAGAGTAAATCAGAATATTCTTTAGGGTCAGAGAAAAAGTCAGAATTTTGTCTGGAAATCAGAGAAAAGTCAGGGAAGAACAAAATTAATTTTTTGTGGCAACCTTGTACTATTATTGTATTTATTTATTATTAATTACTACTATAATAATTTATAACAATAATAATATAATAATAAATATCTCGTTACATATCTATTACTATAAAAATTAATAAATTATTATTAAATATGTCGCGCTCCGAAGAAAGATACTCAAGGAGCACATCATTTTAAGGTTATGTTTGTCTTATTTTTACCTCAATTAAAATTTTTTGTTTTATTATGCAAGACTAAAAACAGTTTTTAATCATTATTTTAGATGCAAGAAAGACTTAAACATCAGAGGTTTGTATTTAGAGTCAATCACCTTTATGTATTTTCATTCCAAAAATTATAAACATAACCTAAAATTCACAGATCTTCTTAGATGCGTTTCTTTGAAGTGTGTCACATATTAATAATTGTAATTAATGATAAAATAGAGTTTCAGTAGTTAAACAAATTCATAAACAAACTAAATTAATAATAAATAATCAAATTTATTAATATAATTAGGGTGTTTAAAACTAACTATTAGAAATTTCTCTATTGTAATAAATGTGAAATTAGATATGTAATAATTTATTCGAAAACATAAACATTTCTTTGTCTTTAAAACGATGAGACTCTTTAAGAAATGAAATTTTTAATCTCTGCCTTATCGCATGCATCTAATAATCCATATTAAGCACGCATTGCGTGCATTTATAAAGTCCACACAGCTTGTACAGCAAAATACACAAGTGTAACATCATGACTAATCATCGCACATTGAATAAATTCTCAAAAAATTGCAAATAGTTTCCACCCACAAAGAATAAGAAAAAAATACCACTCAAAAAAACTAACAAAGTTAATAAATTTTTTCAGATTCCTAGTTAAAAAAAATACAAATGACGATTTAGAAAATCCGTTTCGATGGAAAAGTGGAGAAGTAAAGGAAAAACGATTCAAAAAACGGAAAGTCTTTTACCACCAACACGACGTCAACAACAACAACAACAACAACAACAACAAGACGTCGATTCCTCTCTAACTGAAAAGAGAAAAGAAAAACGATGGACAATTGGTGGTTTTCTAAAAAGAATTTCCCACCGTGACGGCGATGCTTCATCAAGCAGTGATACCTCAAGTCTCAATGCGCCAATAATTCGACGAAAAAAAGCAAAAAATCAAATAAAAAATAAATCCTCACGTCGTGCCATTCGCTCGTCATTGCAGACGAAAAAAGATCTCGATTTCACTTATTCCAGTGGCAAATCACTTGAAATAAATCCCTTTATTTTCCCCATTGTCGAATCATTACCACAGGAGTTAATCTATTCACGTAGCAGTGAAGGTTCAATCGATGGTTCAACAAAAAAAATACGCAAGGACAAAATAAAAGCCCGAATCGAAGCGAAACGGGACAAACTCTGCACAAATAGTAGTACAGACGAGAGTTCAAATGAATCAAAATTACAAAATGGTTACAAGAATGATGTTTGTCTACGCAGAAGACGTAACGCAAGAGCCGAACGTCTAATGAAAAGTTTATGTCGAAACGATACTGGAACTAAAACACAAAATACAAACTCAATAAATGAACATCGATCATCATCCAATGATTATCAGTTGAAAATTCAAGAAACCGAAAATCCCCTCGTGAAACAAACTCTACAGTATTTTTCCGATTTCGATAGGAGGAATGTTAGCAAAAATTACGAGAGGGAGAAAAGGAGAATTGACAATTCTCGTCGCAGGCAAACACAACAAATATTTCCAGTCACTTCCGAAAACTGTGATGTACAAGATAAGAAATCAAAATCTCAGGAGGATATTTACCTCAACTATCAAGTTAAACCCACCCCCGAGATTCCATTTTACGCGTCTTCCCTCGATAGTAGTTATTACAAGAGTCCAAGAATTCAAAATAAACCATGTAGTCAGAGTTCTTATACATCAAGTCCTTATGGAGAAAATCCGATTAATTACAATAGAGAATATCTGGTAAATTATAATAAAGAAAGTCCGGTAAATTATAGACAGAGTCCGATAAATTATAATGAGAGTCCGATAAATTATACAGAGAGTCCGATAAATTATAGAGAGAGTCCAATGAACTACAGAGAAAATGCGACAAGTTACAGAGAGCATCCAACCGATTACAAAAATTCATGGCGACAAAATGATCAATTCGAGGATACGGGAATTTACTCAAGAATACGATCGCCATCGCAACGATCCGACAGTTCCCATCGATCGGTAAGAACTCGAGACTCCCCCTCCGACAGCCTCCGAAAAATGACGCCTGATTTTGATAAACAACGTTCAAAAGAAACATCTAATTTATCGAACAATTTTACAAATATTTTGCGAAACGGGAGTAAAAATGGTTCGAGAGAAATACACGAGAAGAACGATTCCGAGAGGAGGAGTTCGAAAAATCTAGAAGAGGCGCTCTGTGAATTGGAGGAGATTTACAATAGTCTTCAATTGGGCGACGAGGATCTCTTGGAACGAGCCGAGAAACGAAGTATGGAAGAGTACAGCAACAAGAAACTAGAGAACGTCAACGATTCGGAAGTGAAAAATTCATCGAAAACAGAAAACGAACCGAATATTATCAAGGATGACATGGCTTTCAGAAGACTACGATCATCAAATCGTCCCTCGTCCGATGGTCACGCAATTTTATCGAACATCAGTTATCTCATCACTTCGCCAATTCCTTCACGTCGCGATTTTTACTATCCGGAAACGAGGCAAAAACACCGCAACAAGGAACCGGATGTTACACTCGACGATGTCGTGTTCAGGAATCTACACCACGCGAATAATTCCCTGAAAGTCGTCGAACCACAACCGCCGTTTGGTATTCCCCTTGGACCAATAACAGGCGCCACTGAGAGCGATTATCTTCACTCGAAACCAACAAAGTCGCGCTCAAGACGCGAACCCGACATTGTCACGGATGATCTCGCATTTCGTAATCTACGCAAAGACAGGAGTGGCGATCAGAAGACGTCGAATTTTGTCGCTAAGAAGAAGCGAGCCGTTCGTTCTTTATCCGCCAATCTTTACACTCTCTTCAGTGGTTCGAGTGCTCCGGACGCTGAATGGGACTTCGAGACTAATCTCGATATCAACGGAAATCAATCTGACGAAACGAAGAATTTCGAAACCAAATCCAAAGGTGGGAATGCAGAAGTAAAAGGCGACAAAAGTGGAAAGTCAACACTCGAAATTGTTCAAATTCAAAGGAAAGTTAAAGTACCTTCTGCCGATAATGAATCCATACAATTCCGATCGTTTAACACCGAAACTGATAAGCGCTTCCAAAAATACAAATCCGAAATTTGCCAAAACTCACAAAGTGAAATTGGTCTAGGTGTCGAAAAGGATTTTCAAAACGAATTCAATCAAAGTCAAGCGGTATTCGATCGAAAGGACAAGGACGCTTCTGAAGTACATCGAAAAGTGGACAAAATCGAACGAGGGCAAAAAATAGAAAGACCACTTCTCAAGAATGTGGACGTTTTTGGAGAATGCGCCAGATCGAAAAGCGGCGAATCATCAAAGATAAATTCGGGAAAAATTGAAAATTTCCGAAGTAAAATCCAATGTAGTGGTAGTAAAAGTGAAGGTGAACCTAAACGAACAGAAAATAAAAATCGAGGCGAAATTGAAGAATCTTCCGCTGGTGGAAATGGTGAAAAGTCCTTTGCAATTGGAGGTGATTTGTCTTCGAATGGAATGGAAAAGGAGTCTAATGGAATTGGTGGGAAAGTAAACGAAAAACCCCCACCGGAAATTCTGTATCAATCTAAACTTCGTGATTTGCCTCTCAGTGGAAGAGAAATTACTTCTGGAGATAAAGAAACCACCGGTGGAATTCAAAACAAAATTGTCGATTCGAGTGAAGTTGGCGGAAAATTCTCACCGGAAATTCAGTACGAATACGACTTTCCTGCGAAGATGAAAGAAACTACGTCCAATCGAATTGAAATCGTTGATAAAATTGTAGATCCAAGGGAACCAAGAGATGCAAAGGAACCAAAGGAATCAAGGGAACCAAGTGATCCAAGAGAGCCAAGGGAACCAAGAGAACTGAGGGAACTAGGAGAACTAAGGGAACCAAGAGAAATAATTGAACCAAGGGATTCGAAAAATTCACGGCTAGTCGAAAAGCCCTCAACAGAAATAAAAGATTCCTTCCATAATTTGTCTTCCATTAAAAAAGAAACCACACCCAATCAAGTTGAAGTCGAGGAAAAAATCAAAAGTCGAGGAGACAGCAAACAAACCGATCTTCCGACCCCAGAGTTACGAGATGAAGACGAAACGACAAAGGACCTTGGACCCTTCACCGAGCACGAGATATCAATTTACAGACAACTGTGCCAGGAACTGGAAAACTTGGTCGACTCAACAAAGACTTTCGATGAATCATCAAACGACAATCAACCCCAAGATTCCAGTGAAACTGTGAAATTTTCCAAAACATCGCAACAAACGGAGAATTTAACAACCGATGAAATCGACGAAATTGGCAATGAAATAACCTGTCTACGTGAGAAATTGACGAATTACATGACGAGTACCAAAGAAATGGATCGGGGAAATGGAAAAATAATCACTGATCACAAGAGGCAAGAATCAAAAATCAATAGTAATGATAAAATTGACGATAATAATTTATTTATGAAATTAAATAATTCTCAAATTGATGAAAAGCCACATTGTTCGAGGAAAATATTTAAAGCAAGGGACGCAAATTCGTCGACGTGTGAAGGTGAGAAAAAGAGTTGTAAAGAGGCTAGTAATGTGTGTAACGCTGAATTATTGTTACTAACTGTGAAAAATGTTTGTTATGTTACTAATCAAATGAAGGCTCATTTCTTTTTATTGCTCGCATTATTTTTTGTGCTATTAATTGCGATTACTACGATGTAAGTTTGCGTGAAAATGCAGGAAAGTTGATGGCTCGAGTTGTTTCGAAGGTATTTTGAAAAATTATTCAAGTTCTTGAAATTATTTTGCCGATTTTTAGTTTTAAAGTTCTTTTCTTTTGTCAAGGAGGAAAGTAACAATTTTGGGAGTTTCTATAATTTTCTGCAATAATAGTAGACAGTCACTTATTTAAAAATTTCTTCAACTAATTTGCTAATTTTTATTATTATTTAGGATTATTTTTCCATTATTAAATTTTTTATTTTATTACTTTTTAAAAATTTTTTAACAAATTTTTCTCTAAATTTCAATCCAAATTTTAGTTTTTCAAAATTTTAAACTCTCAATATTTCATTATTTTCATAGTTTTTTTCAATAGTTTTAATTTGTATTTTAATTTTAATTTTTATTTATTAATTTTTAATTAATTTAACAAATTTTAATTTGTCTGAAAATTCATCGATTTAAATTTCAAATAACTCTGAATTAATTCGTCTGCATTTTTAATGTTTTAAATTCAATTTCCAATTCATTTTACTATTAATTTATTAACTTGAATGCAATTGTTAAAAGTTAAATTTTATCGAAAATTCTACAAATATTATTTATTTTCAATATTTTTTTATTTATTTTATTAGTTAAAAATTAATCCTAATTTTAATTGACGAAAATTGTAATAAATGAAATATTAATTTCATTCTTTTTATAAATTATTTCCTTAGTAATACTTCAATTAGTTTGATTATTTAATTGAGAAAACTTTTAAACTATTTAAATTTCCAATTAATCTAATTTCTAATTCTAACTAACTCGAAATTCAATCGCTCCAAACTTTAATTCATCTGATTTTTAATCGAATTATAATTTAATGAATTTAATGAATGCAAATTTCCGCTCACTGAACTTTTAATTATTTCTTATTTTTTATCGACCAAAAAATTCTTTAATTTGAAAATTTAATTATTCGTCGAAATAATAATTAATTTTTAATTTAAATGCAATTGTACTTATATTTATAAATTTAAGTTTAAATTTTTATTCATAATTAGAATAATACATATTTTTAAAAAATTTAACAAATATTTTTTTGGTTTAAATATTTTTAAAAATTTACTAATTGAAAATCAGGGAATTCAGGGAATTTTTTTAAAAGTACGGGAGAAATATCAAATTTCTAAAATTACTGCATGAATTTTGGTTTTTGGTATTCATAAATATTTTTGAAAACCTTAAAAACCTTGAACTCTTGAATCTTTTTTTACCTTAAAAACTTTTGAATGACAATGAATTCTTAAAATAATACCTTGATTTTTGATGTTACTGTAAATAATTAAATTCTAAAATAACTTTTCTAAAGTTATGAATTATAATTATCTTTGAAAAGATTTCAATTGAAAACTGTTGCAATTTTCAAAATAGAGTTTAAACTAAAACGTTTAAAGATTTCAATTCCTTTGAAGAAATTCATGATAATTGAATATTTATTCAAAACATAACTTAAAATTCTGAAAAAATTATGTTTCTTAGAAATTTTAATTCAATTTTTTTAAAAGATATTTCAATATCTAAACCAATTATATTAAAGAATTATCAAATTAATGGAAATTTTGTGAAATTGTATTGAAAATAATTAAATTTGTCAAAGAATTTCTTTAAAAATATTTTTAAAAATAAAAATTACATTTTTAAGGAATTTGAATCTAATAATTAGTTCATTTTCAATATACAATAGATATTTCCAAAAAAGATATTATAAATTCTATTAAAAATTTGGAGTCTTTATCTATAAATTCGATATCAACGAAAACTCAAAGATAATAACTTAAGAGGAAAATTTTCTGAATATAATGTTTTATCAAACAATTTAAATAATAAAAATCTTCTTAAAAATCAAGATAGGTCATTTTCCAAAAAATTACAAAGTACAAACAAATTTTAAAGAATTTTATTGAAATTTGGAAATTAGGGAAAAGTCGAACTTTCGAAATTTTAGAAACCATTTTTGGAAAATAATTCATACCTAATGCAGAAAAAGAATCTGATTTCTGTTATAATTATAATTTTGGATAAAAATTATAACATAAAAAAAAAAAAAAAAAAATTATAAAAATTATAATATAAAAACTTTTGTTCCCTTCTGGGATAATTTGGAAAAAATCATCAATTTTACAAAAATTTAACTGAAACAACTCTGAAGTCGAATCAGCTTTTCGAGTATTTTTCCACAAACTATGTACACTACTGCGATGCCATGAAATATCAGACTGTGTGATGTGTTGTTTGTTGTTACTTGACTGAAAACTTGTTGGCTTGCTGCGAAAAAAATATGAAAGAAAAATAGTTTATACACGGAGAGACCCACATTCGTAAAAATTACTAAAAATGGTTGCAATGACCGGAAATAAGGAGACTTTTAGCATAATGTGCTACAGAATTAGATAAATTTACAAAAGAAATAGATAAATTTGCTACATTGAAATAGCAAGTTTTAATATTTTGTGTAAGAGTTGTAAATGTAGCAAAAATTGATTATAGTTTTCTCTAATTTAATTAGACAAAATCTGACAAATGAAAACATTTTCCACTAAAACCTACGATCCACTGTAGTAATTTTTGGTGAGCAAGTGTGGCTAGCGAGTGCAGTCATATGGTGCCTGCATTTCTATTGGTTGCTAACTTCGTCAATCTCCGTAATTGAGCCGATGCTATCCGATCATTGACAGTGACTATGTTTCGCGTATGTAAAATAAATTTGGATATTATCTACAATAATTAAATATAAAGTGAAACGTAGGTCGTTCGTTATCTCAGAAATTGACCATTATAAATTGATAAATTTTGCATTTATTCCTGTCCCAAGGACTATGTCTTATAATAAGTTGTTAAAAGTAAACTGCTTTCTCGTAAGTGCTGTAAATTTTCATCATTCAATATATAAGGAAACAGAGATGTATACTTTCAGTGAAATTCGTTGTCGTGCGTGCAGTTGTGTATTAGTGTATTAATTAACCGCGTCTATACATATAAGTGAAATAAACATGTGTGTGTCTTCAAATATTTATCCAACAAATATATAAGTGTGTGTGTGTCTGTGTATGTAAAAATCCTTCCAGTTTACCTCCATTAGTCAAGAATTGACGGGAAACCGGCGACAAAAATCCGTATTTTTTCTTTCACTCTTTCTTTCTGCATTTACAAACGACTATAGTAATTTTACGTACACAATGCTTCTGAGTTTACTACAGTTGTTTGGAACTATTGGACGAAATAGTAAGAAACTTTGCTAATTTGGTGAACATTTGTCGGGATTAGTGACTTAGTGTAGAAAATAGTAAAAAATACAAAAAGTCCCCTTATTTCCGGTGGTTGCAATGTGAAAATAGTAAATTCTAGTGTGATTTTATACAAAAATTAGTAATCTCGGTCTCTCCGTGTAGAATTTTTTTTCTCATAATGTTCTCAAATGAAGAATCGATGCAATAAGTTAAAATTAATATTACTAATGTCACAGGTGCGGACACTACTCTTACATGACCAGAAGCGTTCTGAACGAGTATATTGTAAAACACACTGTACACCGTTGGGTGATGAGTCATATACGTCAAGTTTATTATTATTCTATTTTTTTTAAAAATGTAAAACTAAAATTTACAATGGACTGTTAAAGAAAACTGACTTGTTGTTATTAATTTTAATAAAGTTTAATCGTTATAATTGTTGTTTAGTCATTATTTATTTATTAACTTTACTACATATTTTTTTCTTATAAAAATTATTTTAAATGTGATGCTCCCCCTAGAATGGTAAACGAATTATAGGTTATGTTTTTATTAGATTTATTGTTATTAAAATAAAAGTTTATTTTTAATTATGTAAATTTAAAATCAGTTTTTATTGAATATTTTTGCAATGAAGACTTAAAGATCAATAATTTTTGCTAATAATTGATTTTCTTTCTGTATTTTACTCTATAAAAATTATAAACATTATCTAAAATTATTTTGGGAGCGTATCAAATATAGAAATATTTATATTAATTTTCAATTAATTTTGATAATTGTAAAGCACGAAGTTGTAAAGCGTCGCGAAGAAAGGGACCTAAGAGTTAAAATCTTATAGGTTATGTTTGTTATCTTTTAAGTAAAAATGCATAAAGTGAGTTAACTTTTATTTGAAACGAATTATGTTTAAGTCCGTATTACATTTAAAATATTTAATAAATATAATTTATAATTTTACAAAATTAAAAAAGAATCCTTTATTCAAGTTAAAAAGGTACCAAACATAACCTATAAGATTTTGCTTTTTAGGTCTATTTCTTCACTGCACGTCACAAATTTATTTCGTATAATATTATTAAAAATTGCGCGAACCGAAAATTTACGTAAATCAAATAAAAAATTTATTTATTATAAACTGAAATTTGGGAATAAACATAATTATTTATTTCGAAAATTTAAAAATTAAATATATTTAACATGGCTTAAATATAAATTTTCCCTGAGTGTAATTTTATGAAAAAAAAATTATTTCAGAATTTTCAACTATAAACCTTCTATAATAAATAATTTCTATTTATACTATTTTTACGTTTTATTCCTTAAAAATTATTTACAAAAAAAATTGTAAGAAAAATGCTAAATATAGAGAACAAAATTGCTCTCCAATTCGTACAGGAAGAAAATTTATGTTTATGTACATAGAAGGGAAGTGAATCGATTTAGAAAGTATAAAATGACACAATATAGAAATTTAATATATAAATGCGTATATCTGAGATCTATAATTTAATATCAATAACCCGTAGATATGTAATATTGAATTACATAAAAAATTTCAAATATTTTCTATAAATAAAATTTAAACATTTTCTATAAATAAAATACACCTGTAGGAAAAAATGATATATTTTACTTAGGTATAGAATCTATACTTAATTATTTATTTGCTTCAAATAAATTTTATTGTTGGTTCAAATAAATAATTTAGTAAATTCTGTGACTAATATATTTCTTTTATTTGACTCAATAAGATTATATTATTTTATTTAAATAATACATTTCTCTGGGTGTATAAACATTTTTTGTAAATAAAATATAAACTTTTTCTATATAAATAAAATATAAACATTTTCTATTAAATTTAAAATAGAAATATTTTCCATACATAAAAAATAAATATTTTAGTCGAAATAAAAAAAAAGAATTAAAATTTTCTTTTCGAGTTGTAACTCTTGAAATGATACCCAGAGAAAAATTTTATTCAAACCAAATATAATT